ATATTTAAATGTTTTCCTGTGTATTTAGTTTACAATCAAGTGCTCCTTGAGAAATGATTAATGGAGTTTCTACTGTAATTAAATCATTTTTCCAATTTTTGTTATTATTTTTAACAGGCGAAAAGCAGATTGGAGTTCGCTTTTAGCAAAATAAAGAGTTACTCTCAATCATCTCAACTGTGCATCTTTAGTGGCATTATGGCTGTTGTTTCTTCAGATGAAATTATGGGGCAAGCATGCTCACGATCACCTGTTTATATTATTTTGGAGGAAATTATATCCATTTCTAAAAGGTAAGTTGTTGCTATTAGTTATTATGATGCTAATTATAATTGTTTGCAATTTTGTCTTGAGAGTAATTATAAATTGTATTTGTTTAGTGTGGAAGATGCAGATTTATTATTGCTGGCTACACGAGCCTTGATACAGTGGACAAATGTTTTGAGGTTATTTTTAATTCTTAACTTTTTTTTTAAGTAAACAGTTTATTTTTGTTATTTATTTGTTCTAATTGTATGTCAAAAGTGTGTTTTGAGAAATAGCATAAATATTCTTGTCATTGTATTAGAAATGTACGTTCTATATTATATTGGAAGGGTGTTTTGAAATGACTGTTCTTAAAATATGTGTTTAGAATTCTTGTAAAGAATGAAAAAAAAATTTACTCATTCGTAGTTTTAAAATTGTATTGTCAAATAAATTCTTGAAAAAGAATTCAAATTATAAATATTTGCTATTGATGATAATAACTGAAAGAGAGGGATTAAAATATTCTAAAATCATTTATTTGAGAATGTGGATAGTAAAAAATGATTGCATTCGTATTCCATTGGTTTTTGATAACTTTACTCATTCTTTATTTTTATTAAGTTCATTTATGATTGGCCTTAATTTCTTCTTCTCTTGCCTTTAAAAATCACCTAAAATAATGGAGAATTTAGATTCCCCCCCCTTCAAACTGGGAAAATACAGGGAATTTTGTTTCTCATTTGCATCTTTTAAAAAAGGGTGGCCACTCATTTGGCCATGTGGCCAAGGGTATGGGATATTTAAGGTTGATATTACTTACTTCTTACTTTTTATTATTGTATTAATACTTTTAAAATTTTCAGTACTCTTTTGTTGTTTTGTGAAAAAACTCAATAATATTTAGAGTCAAGATTTTAGAAAAAATATGAAGTGAGGGGTTTTTACTATTTTTAAAGTAGCAAAAAAATTTTATGTTATTAAGATTTGTCATTCTAAAAAGCTTTAATTCATATCTTAATGATTTGATTTAAAAACAATTAAAATAAGAAATTCAATTATCTCAGATTTGTTAAATATTATGAGTGTGGGGATCATATAATAATTTGCTTTTGACAAAAATGTTTAGCTTCAATGCTCATTGTATTTACATTTCATTATTTGTTTTTAATACAAACTATATATATTTTCAATAGCTATGATTCAGACAGATTTTTATTTTTCAGCAATGTTCTGAGGAAAGAAAATGTTGGAAATAACTCTACTCATGAACTGAAGAAGACATTTATTGAAAACGGTTATTATGTATCGATATTATTCAAACATGTACTGGATTATAGAGAGCATTACATAGATGTAAGTATATTCTTGAATCTTTAAAGTTGCGGGTATCTTAAGATTATATACGTGTACAATCTAACCCAGCTATAATGAACTAGAAATATAGTGTATAGTGCGCAAAATGAAAAGCAGACAAAAAAAAAAAAAAAAAAAANAAAAATGTCTTAACAGTTGACAAGGGTTGCTACTCTGCAGGGAGAATAGGGAAAATCTGGAAAATACTGGGAATAAAAAAATCACCTAAAATAGCAGAGAAAATGCAGGGGATTTGAAGTTTTTCTATAGAAACTCAGGGCTGATTGTGCTCCGGAAAGATTACGGATTTCCGGAATTTTGGCTAACAGTGATCCGGAAGTTTCCGGAGATCGAAGGTCCAGACATTTAAAAAAATCATTGATCACAGAAGTTTCCGGAAATTAAATTTTCAAAGGTGGAACTTAAAAACTCAGTTTATTTATTTGTTTGTAAGGAAGAGCCAGAGAGATACTTTATAAGCTTATATTCATGATTAATATTCATTTTTATCAGTAAATAGTTGTTATAATCATAAACTCAAGAAAGAAAGACATATTTGTAAATTTTAATTACTTCTCAAGGTCATCATAGGTATGTGTAAAATTTTAAACATATTTTAAGTAAACTAAGAAATATTGAGAAAAAGGAAGAAGAAAAACCTTGTTTAAATTTTTTTTCTAATTTTTCAATTTAAACTGTTTCTTTCTTCTTCTTTTTTTTTTACTCAAGAAATTTTCCAGAATTTTGACTTGGGCTCACAATCACCCCTGCGAACTGGTGCAACCCATAGGTTGCACCTATCAAGGTGCAACCTATGGGATACTTATGGATATTTCAGTCATACTTAACTATTTTATTTACTTTGACATTATTTAAGTATGTTCAGCTGTTTCTTTTTTTTTTCTCTAAGTTTTTCCAGCAATTAAAACTAGTATAGTTTGCCCTATACAGCTCACTCAAGAGTAAAGTACAGTGTTTTCATTACAGAAAAAAAATGAGAGAGAATTTCTCACCCTTTCTCAAAAATAGGGTGAGATCTCAAAAATGTAAGTGAAATTTCTAAAAATTAAAAAAACACAATTAGAATTGGAAAAAAATATTTCTATAATTATTTAACATCTCCTAACTTTTAAAGCATTGAATATTTTTGCTGCATCATCATATGGAAAATGTTCTATATCTACTTTTTAATCAGCTTCTCTCATTAGGTTGCTCAAAT